AAAATCCTAAAAGTCCCATTGCACGTGCCACTGCGTGAGCGAGGCCATTTTACTAGGGTTCCCCAGCCCCACCGAGCATTTCTGGGCTGCAAAGGAGCCCTTTTTGGAGACCCCAAAACAAAACTGGAAGTGATTGGAATTCTCTAGAATGGCTTCTGGGCCCCTCAAGAATAGGAAACTATCCCTCATATGGCCCCTAGAGGACGCAAGAGGGCTCTTTGAGGAGTTTTTCTTTTTTCAAATGGGATAGAGAGGCTTGGGGTTTTTGGAGGTGCCCAATGGGACCCCCGAGGTTGCCTACGATCTGCATTTTGCATTTTGCCCATGCCGTTTTAAAGGAGCACAGGTTCCGTCTGAGGTCTTAAGGCGCCCTGAGGAATTTTGAGTGTCTGGAAGGAGAGAAGATGTTGTGGTCTTGCGTTTCCTCTTAATTCCCCAGAGATTCTAGATCTTCCAGCAGTGTAAGGAGAACTGATTGAAGGAAGCAACGTTGTTCTCCTTCCGACCTGAGGAATGAGATCTGGGTTAGTGCAGGAGGGGATGGAAAGGGATTAGCTGGAAAAGTTTAGGGCTCTTGCTTTCAGAATTCCTCATCTATTACCTAATCATTCAAAGTTTTGCTTGAAAGGTTGGATTTCTTGGTTCTGTGGAGATTTGAGAATTAATTTTTTTTCATTCATAAAGCTAGGTGTGTATATCCCGTGTCTGTGTAGTTTTGCTATTGGTTTGATTATAAGTTCACTCACTATTAATATCAGATGATCAGCGTATGTAGAGGGGCAGATGACAGATGGGGAGCCCTGGGTTCAAATTCCCATTCAACAAGGAAGCCAACTGAGTAAGCTTTGACCAGGCACTATTTCTCCACTTAATATTTTGCTAGCTGGAGCTACCAAAGCATCTACGTGTTGTTTTCCATGTTGTTGTTTTGGCCTACAGATACTAGAGACTGAATGCCCATATGACTGGGTAGGGGATTCTGGGAGTTGTAGTCCAAAAAGTAGTGTTTCTAAGCCTTGAATCTAAAGAGGATTTTGATGGGTCAGACTGGGGTGAGGTTTAAGCATCCCATCAAAATTCAATTAAAATACTCCCCCTATGAAATGTTGACTGGCCCCTGAGACATGGGGGGAAAAATGACCCTTTCTTATTCAGAATTACTGTAGTCCTAATCTGCACCCAATTCTTTATACAGTTCTTAATCGCTGTTTCCCTGAAATTAACATCATTGGGGCCAAGAACTTTACTCTCGGTGGGATGACACCAGAGAAAACAGTGGACTCCATCAAGAATGGCACATCGTAAGTCCTTCGTTTCATCCATCATCTTAGCCAACAATACTACAGTCCTTGGGCAAATGATTAATGTGGCGACTGGTTCTGATTCTGTGCCTTGAAAATACAACAGTATAAAAGATGGAACAGGACAAATACCCCACTTGCCGCTCAGGATCACAGCATAGAAGTGACTGGTTACGATCAAGGTGGTTGGTTATCTACAGCTAGTCCATTTTTCATTAATGAGCCACGGAGGTACCATTTAAACATCATAAGTAAATCCAAAGTTGCTTATTTACTTATTCCATTTGTCTTATTTCTCTCAATAAGAGGACACAAGGCAACTGTAATGTAATTAGGTGTAATGAGGAACCCCTTAGTCACTTTCAAACCTTACTAGTTCACAGCATTGTGAGTCATTTTAGAGGCCTCTTTTTCCAGTAATTTTTCAGGTTACATGCCGTTCTCTTGTAAGTAGCAAGGGTACTATTATTTTGGATTTTTTCCTTGTAAATATTTCCAAGGTGCAAGTATCAGAGCTGATCCTTAGAAGGTATGACAGAATATTTCCCTATATTTTCCTAGTCTTTTGAGAAAGACAACTTGATGGATTAATCATGCACAACAGATCAAGGGACTTGACAGCAACCATAACAATAATGCCAACTTTGCAACTGGGAAGTGATGAGCCACAGGATTAGTTCCTTTTAATAATGCCATGTTTTGAGTTCTTTTGGGCGTCAGTGGCTTAAAGTGTGGCATAAAAACTGGGGAAATGCCCTTAAAAATGAAGTAACTCGAAGGTGTTACTCATTATGCTAACATAAAAATTGTGACTGTACTTAACAATTATATAGTTGTTGAAATGTGATTTACTGTATTTTTCTGTGTATAAGACGCCCCAGTGTACAAGATGCCTCCCCACTTTTCTAACACCAAATTAAGAAATCAATATTTTAAACATAATTGGGTAATATTTACATTCCAGTACTGTCATACTATGCAACACACTTTAACTTTATTCAGCCTTTGGGCTCAGAATGCTCGGACATTAGGAGTCCCTGTTGAATCTGAGCCTACAGGCTCCACCTGCAACGAGATGTGCTCCAATTGGTTTGTTCAGCATCAGCTGACTTCAGTTCCATAAGGCTTGTGATTGTAGGAAGCCTGTTTGCAGAGGCAAGGTATGGGCCATTTTGTTCTCTCCTCAGTTTACTTTCGTGTATAAGTTGCCCCTCAATTTTGAGCCTTAACGATTTTAGGAAAAAGTACTGTCTTATACATGGAAAAATACAGTAGTTATGCCTTCATTACCTGAAAAGTAGTTCTAAGTAACTATGTTAATGTAATTAGTTACTTACAATGAAAGTTTCATTTTCAGACTGCTAGCCCCAGAATCTTTTAGTTCTCTTGTCCTGAGTTCCCCTCTAATTATTGCTTTTCTTCTTTGCTTGGGCAGCCAACTTGAAAAGATTCTTAATGCTAAAGATATTGGATTAAAGATCTTTGAGGATTTCACACGGACATGGTATTGGATCCTAATGTGAGTAGCGAGAAGTGCACAGTGGATGAAGGGCCAGTGGCCTTTTGGGTATAACCAAGCAGAAAAAGATTGATGTTGGTCCTTTATGATTATCATCAGACTGTATACTGTATTTATATAAATACATACAGTATTTATATGTATATAAATAAATAATAGATATGTGTTTTCTTTGCAGAAGTTTGAACTGGTTCACTCAGAGTTCAACATCCTGGTTTTCTTTATTTAAAAGCAGATCAAGTTTCTAGCCCCTTTGGGTTCACATAAAAAGCTCTGAGAAAGCGTGGACAATGGTGAAATCTCAGCCAACTAGTCTTTTTGCTGTCTGAGATGGTGGGATCTGAGTAACCACTTCCATCTTGGCAAATTCTGGCCTGACCATTTCCAATTCCACTGCTTTCAATACTAAACTCTTAGGTTCCATACTTGATGCCAGTTTAGTTATCAGCCCTTGGGAGCTGTGTCATCCAAGGCAGAATTGGAGATGATGTTCCACTGCTGCCTCTCTGGCCCTTCCTCTGTATGACTCCCTTTCAAGTACAGTGGTGCCTCGCTTAACGACGTTAATTCATTCCAGCGAAATCGCTGTAGAGCAAAAACGTTGTAAAGTGAAATTTAAAAACCCATTAAAACGCATTGAAAACCGTTCAGTGCGTTCCAGTGGGCTAAAAACTCACTGTCCAGCGAAGATCCTCCATATGGCGGTTGTTTTCGGTGCCTGTATAGCAAGGAATCCATTTCTAAGCACAGCGGGGAGCCATTTTAAGCACCCGGTGGCCATTTTGAAAACCTGACTATCAGCTGTTTTTGATCGTCGTAATAGGAGAATTGGTTCCCGAAGCAGGGAACAGATCTTTGCAAAGCGAAAAAACCCTATTTAAAACATCGTTTTGCGATCGCAATTGTGATTGCAAAAACATGGTCATGACGCAGATTCATCGTAATGCGGGGTAATCGTTAAGTGGGGCACAACTGTATTTGAAAAGTCCTATCATATCATGGACTAGTGGAAATTTAATCCAGATCCATCCCCATCTATCCACTTCTGATCTTCTGGACTTTGCTCAGGAGCTCAACTGGGAGGAAAGCAGGGTCTGCATTTTGCAACAGAGCAGACACGAGAAGATCAAAAGGACCTCTCCGGACTTCCGTTTTTCACCTTTTCTCACTCTTCTTTCCATCCCAAAGAGAGCTTCTAATTGCCATGGTGCTCAGCCTCCTCTTCCTTGTCCTGCTAAGATTCACTGCTGGGTTCCTGGTGTGGATTCTCATCCTTGGGGTGCTCGTTGTCATTGCATACGGTGAGTGAATTTAAAACTACAGTGGTGCCCCGCATAGCTACATTAATCCGTTCCAGGATTAATGTCGCTATCCAGATTCGTCGCTATGCAGGGGGGGAACCCATAGGAATGCATTAAACTCCCTTTAATGTGTTCCTATTGGGGAAAAACTCATTGGTAAGCGAAGATTCCCCCATCCGGCTGCCATTTTCGCTGCCCGGTAAGCGAGGGCAGGGCGCGAAAACGCTGTGGGAGGCCATTTTCTGCACCCAGCGGCCATTTTGGAATCGCCGATCAGCTGTTTTTCGAACATCGCAATGCGATTTTCACCCATTGGAATCATTGCAATGCGATCGCATTACCGATCGCAAAAAACGCGTCTCTATGCGGATTCGTCGTTAAATGGTGCGCTCGTTAAGCGAGGCACCACTGTATGGTGAATGACTGAACCATAAAACCCAAGCATGCAGCCTGGAAATGTTAGTAACAGCAGTAGCATGTGAGTCCTACCTCACTTGTTGAGCTTACAGCGTTAAGGATTTTAACCCACTGGTTCATTATGTTGTTGAATAACTTGTTAAATCTTTAAAACCTGAAAAAATAAAAATTTATCTAAAGTTGATCAAAATGTTTGCTAGCAATTCAAGGAGAAATTGGGACAGAGTATCATGCTGGTGTTTTAACAGAGGAAAATAAAAAAATATTTCAAATGATGTTAAAATTATGAAAACAACACATTTTTACTATAACAACAACAAAGTCAAGATCTTGTGGGATTTCCAGAACTAAAATGATGGACACCTTGAACATAACACACCTGACATAGTAGTAATAGAATGAAGAAATGTCCAGATCATTGACACTGCAATTCCAGGGGATGATAGAGCTGAAAATAAAGAACTGGAAAAACTAACAAAGTACAGAGACCTGGCCATTGAAACATCTCGCTTGTGGATGAAACCCACTTCAGTGGTCCCCGTAGTCATCAGGGCTTTGAGAACAATATCAAGAAATTTCACATAGTACTATAAGTAGCTGCAGATCTCAGAAATTGCACTATCAGAGCTACAAAAAACAGCAATATTCGGAACAGCATACAGACTGTGCTGATATTTAACAGATACTTAGGTTTTTGGTTAAAACTTGTACCTGTTATATAATACCAGTCAATATTTTTATAGTTTTGATGGCCTGTGCCTGGTATTTTTGAAGAAGATGATGATGGCAGCAGCAGCATGCTGGGAGGTCAACTCTGACCTATGGCAACTCTTTCTAGGTTTTTCCAGGTGGAGGTAGTCCTGGGGCTATGCAGCTTGCCCAAGGCTACACAAGTTGGCACTTCTCTTTAGAGACCCAGTTGGGGGGGGGAATTGAACTCCCCACCTCTGGCTCCACAGCTGGCTGCCTCAAGTACTGTGCCATCCAGCCGGTTACTTATACAATAGTGAACTTTAAACTGGTTGCTGAAAATTTTAAATTAAATGTGTGTGACAAATGAAATGTTAATGAATTGTGTCCAAGCCGTGTTAAAGGGTAGGATAGTGGTTCTCAGAAAGATATATTTTGCTGCCTGAGGTAGAGCAGCAGAAGGGGTTCCCCTCCCTCATGCCCAGCCAAGGTGCGCTGCACCAAAAGCCACCCAGGTTCTTTTGGCACACGAGGCAGGAAATCTCACACCAGCGCTTCCCCCACTTCACTAGCAGTGAAAAATACAACTTTTGTGCGTTTGTGTGTGCGTTTCTTTTTTGTTTTTGGTATTTTTGTATTTACAAAGTCAATAACTAACACACGATGTGTTGCCGTTTCGTATGAAAGCATTCTCTGTCTGCCTTATGGTAGGGCCGGCCCTGACCTCTGCTGTTTGTGTTTCAGGAATCTACCATTGCTATATGGAGTACAGTGAGCTCAACAAGACGGGGGCCACCATCCAGAATGTTGGATTTACCACCAACTGGAGCATGTATGGCCACGTCAAGGAGACGTGGCTTGCAGCCTGTAGGTCTGGGTGGAAGAGAAGAGGCTTCCCTCAGGGTGGGGGGGGCGAGTAAAGGATTTACATGTGAAATGAGATGGGGAGAAGAAAACATCTATAGCTATAAGGACTTCAGTCTTGATATTTATGCAACACAGAATGTATGTTAATGTGGATATGAATATTCATGATGTGCTTGCTAAGAGCATAATACTGTATTTGCATAGAATGTGTTTAACCCATCAGGTTGTATCTGGGGTCAGCCAGATTTCTATAAAAGGCAGTGTCAGCCCCGGAGTTAGTGTGGATTTGAGTTACAATGGCTGGCATCAGCACACAATATGGGAGAACAACATTTTCTTTGATACTATTCAAATTAGCTGAGGTTTTTTTATCTAAGCACTTCGGCTGCAAGATGTTAATTCTGCTACTTTATATGTTGTAATTCATTTATTATAACCAAAACCCAACCAGAATGACTGCAGAACAGCTAGAAAATAACTGTAGCTTGTCTCAAGTCTGCCTCTAATGTAGTTCATTCCAAGGCCGACCCTAACATTAGACAGTGTGAGGCAACTAGACCAAGCAGCAGAGGCTGAGCAGAGATAGGATTCTGCTGCCAGTCCAGACCAGTGGACTTCTGTATATTGACAGGGACATTATTTTGTACTTACCCTGAATTAGTAAATACTGTTTGGCCAGCTCTGAATATCCTAATACATTTAATTACTTAAATGTAATAGAATTTTGAATGTGTCTGATATCTGTTATGAAATCACTGTCCTTTGGACTCCTTCCCTTTAGGGACCTTATGGATCATTCTTTTAGGGTCAGACTTGAGTGAGGAAATGACAAGCTACAGATGACATAAATTACTTATAACTAATTACTTTTTGGTGACAAGTAATGACTTTTTAACACACTTTTTAGATGTAAAAAGCAATACTTAAGTTACTTAGATACAATGAATAAAACTAAATTACTCCAAAAAGTTACATCTAAAAAGTAAGAATTTTTCACTCTTTGTGCCATTCTCTTGCCAGTCCTAAATGATAAGTATTACTTGTCTTTGTTTTTAGTATTTTTATACATATTTGTAAGGCACAATATCAGAATTGGTCACTAGCATTTCCTTGTACTTTTCTGGCCTGTTGGTAACTGCATTAATAAGGTAGAACACAATAAATTACTGGCATTGTTAAAGTGATGATAATAATAACAGCAAGTGGGTAACCAAGAGGTACAAAGAAATGCAAGAAATTCCTTTTAAAATGTAACCTTCTTAGCTTTGGGCCAAAATAATACATTCCCCGTAGGTCGTCATTAAAAGAAGGAATTGCTTAAGTGCTGAAAACAGCTGCCAAAGCAGGAGCGTTGGACACCTTCTGTTATTAGTAAATTAGTTTGTTCTCTTTTCTGAGTAGACAATGGGAGGCAAGGTCAGTCTTTGTCTCCAAGCAACTTGGTTGAGGCATGAAAGTCTACTAAAATCTCCCATCTATGATACTAAGAGATTCCATATCTTGAGGACACACGATCTGTGCTTTGGCCCTACATTTGAATTTTTCTCTCTTTGGCTTGAGTCCTCTGTCTTTTTTCCCCTCCCTCCCATTTCATTTTTTGATGTGTACTGGAATCAATATTTATTTTTTTCTTGCCCTCTCTCTCTCTCTCTCTCAGTGATTATCCTCTGCGTTGTGGAAGCCATCTTGCTCCTCACCCTTCTGTTCCTGCGCAAACGGATCCTTATCGCCCTTGCTCTCATCCGGGAAGCCAGCCGGTGAGTCCATTTCTGTCCTGAGTTGTGCTGGGGCAGAACTTCGGACTAGAAATTTCTAGCGGGAACCGATGGAAACAGAAAAGCCCCCGGGGGCTTGGCTTAGTTCTCTCTCTCTCTCTCTCTGTTCCAGAGCTATCGGATACATGATGTCTACCCTCCTCTACCCTCTGGTGACCTTCGTTCTGCTACTGATATGTGTGGCCTACTGGGGTATAACGGCCCTGTATCCTTTTGGAGAGGAGACTTGTATTCGGTTCCAAGATCTTCCCTCCGCTCGCTCCCCTTCCCTCAAAGAGTATTCGGTTCCAAGATCTTCCCTCCGCTCCCCTTCCCTCAAAGAAAGTCACTCTACCCTACCTTCAAAGAAGGAGACAAGTGGATTCTATATATCATCTATAGTATCTTCTTAGAACTCCAGAGCTGGAAGGGACCCTATGGATCATTGAGTCCAGCCCCTGTCAGGGTGGTGCAGTGGAGAATCGAACTCCCGACCTCTGGCTCCACAGCCAGAGACGTAACTCACTTTGCCATCCAGCAGGTCTAATTGCTAAACAGTACAGTGGTGCCTCGCACAGCGAGGTTAATCCGTTCTGGATTAACCCTTGCTGTGTGAAAGCATCGTTGAACAGAACGTAAAATGCCATTGGAACGCATTAAACATGGTTTAATGCGTTCCAATTCGGCCGAATACTCACCGTTCAGCGATGCTTCTTAATGGCCGGCAGCCATTTGCATGCCCTCCCCTCGCTTAACGAGGGCGCAAAAACGCTGCGCGTGGCCATTTTGGGGCTTCTGGTGGCCATTTTGTAGCCGCGGAACAGCTGATCGGCGGGTCGCAAAGCGAAGGTCGGTAAGCGAACCGCTTACCAACCTTCGCTCTGCGATTTCCCCCCTATCTAGGCACCGTTTTGCGATCACATTTGCGATCGCAAAAACGGCATCATTGCGCGGATTCGTCGCTCTACGGAGCGACCGTTGTGCGAGGCACCACTGTACTGCTTCAGACTGTAAAATAAGAATATTTTCAGAGGTATTTGTGTTTCAGAAGGAGTAGGAAAAAACAAAACAAAAACACTGTGGCCCCTTTATGACTATTTCCATGTCAGATTTTCTGGTTTACCATCTGCTTTTTCAAACACCAGTTGGGAACAGTATTTTTAACAACCTCTCATGATTAAACAAACAAACAAAAAAAACCTCAACAACCTCCTAGCGAGTAAAAACTTGGATACGCAATCAGTGGAACTCACCACAAGTGAAAACTGCTTTCCTTTTTTTACACAGGTAGAAGGCAAATGGTGCAATATTTGCTCACTTCCAGTGGCAATTAAAGAGTTCCTGGTGGGATTCCTGAGCATGCACCAAGCCAACAGGCGTGCACATACCCAAGAAACACAGCAGCAACTCTTTAATTGCCTGTTGGAAGCAAGTGAATGTTATGCTCTTTTCTTTTCACCTGCATAGCTACGCAACAGGGTTTCAGCCACTGATTCACAATCACTGGCTGCTCTCGATGCAGTTCTTCTTGTAGGGAGTTTGACTTTATGTGTGTGTACACACGTGCTTATGGGATGTTGAAATGGAACTCTTCCCCATCCAAGCTGAACAAGTACAGTGCACCTGCATTGCTGCATTAACCACAAGAAAGTATTGTTGCCTTTCGTATCTTTAGCCTCGTTTTATATAAGTTAGCCTTAAAGAAGGTCATAAGTGCATTTAACCCAATGGGGCAGCAGGGCTCCAGAAGCTTATTTTTCTCTCTTTAACTCATAATCCCATACTCCACAAGCTCTCTCTCTTTCTCTCCCTCTTCACCAAATTCACTTGCTAGCCTTCTCTTTTTCTTAATGGTTATACATTTTCAAGTCACTTCCATCAGGTGGTGACCCTATAAAGACCTCCACACGGTCCTATGATGAACAGTCCTTGTAGAATCAAGGCTTTCGATTATTTTATTGAATTCATCCTTTTCATGGTGATTTTTTTCACTTTCTCTGACATCCTTCCACTTTTCCTAACATTACTGTCTTTTCCAGTGAGTCCTTTTCTTCTTCTGAATGTGGCCAAAGTACCTTTGCCCCCTTTCAATCCTTTTTTACTTCTTATTAACGTTCGAGCTTGATTTGATCAAAAAAAAAATCCACTTATTTGTCTTTTCCTTCCGAGATCACATCTCAACCGGATCAGTTATTTTCCTGTCACCTTTCTTTACTGTCCAGCTTTCACATCCGTACATGGTAATTGGGAGCACCATAGCGTGACTGATCTTGGCATCTATTATATTTAAAGAGTTGGTGTTGTTTAAGGAGTGGGTGGAGGTGAACAAACTGAAGCTTAATCCAAGCGAGACAAAGGTGCTCCTGGCCATTTAAAGGCAGATCAGGAAATGGGGATTCAACCTCTGCTGGATAGATTTAAATGTAAGCCAGAATCAGCTGAACAATAGGGTTGTGGGGGAAATCAGTAAAATCAAAGTCTGAATTGCAGTCGTAAATGTTTTTTATTCAATAGGGGGGTGGGACCTGATGGCCTTATAGGCCCCTTCCAACTCTATTATTCTATGATTTGCATAGAGAAACCTGAAATTTGTCTGGTTTCAGACTTCACTTCAGCTCTAGTCTTGTATAGAAAACTGCTGGTTCGCAATAGTTTGTGGATAACCTACAAACCACCACGAATCCTCAGAAAAA